GAAGGTGAGCGTGCACGATAGCAAGGGGTGTAACGATTCACTCTCTCTCCCCCGGATTTAGATGAATTGTCGCGATTCAATCCAATCAGTCAGTCAATATCGTTCAACTTGATTCTTGTCTTTTACACGGTGATACATGTAGTGGCCTCCACAGGCTGTAGGGATCGTGTGAACCCATTACATGCAACATATATACACGAATGGAAAATCACTGATTTTCCTACACGTGATTTGACGCGTGAATCTTGGACTTTATAATCGATGTACATGTTCATGCCGTTTTGTCAATACACTGCTGGTTAATGGCACCAACACACATTGTGGGCCTCGGGGGTTATTTGACCATACTTCACCCTGCTGGTCAGTGCGGGTTGGTGAAGGCGGGCAGCATAAATGTTGGGATATAGCAGTTCAGTCCAACGTTGTATTTTGCTGTGCTGCCCTCTGATGCCGACAATACAGTCGTATTTTTTTTACCTTTTTATTTTAAATGTAATATCACCTCCATAGCCCTGCTACGAGGCTACAAAGCTACAGTGTTAATCAATATTTATCAATAAATTAATGCACTGTTAATATTGTATATGTGCGGGCTCACACAGTTGGCTGACGTTTGGATTGCATTTCCAACCAAGATACTATAAAGAACGCAAACGTTAATGGGAGAGAAGATTTATTAACGGTCTATTAAATGACGCACATTTATGTCATCAGTTTTTCTTCCGTCTTTAGGTCGGAAAATGTAACGAGGCTCCCACAAGGCCATGTGGGAGGGAGCGTGGCACAGTTTAGCGCCAGCTACCATAGAGTGCGGTCGTGTCGCTACAGTTCTCTGCGGTGAGGACGATGTCTTTGAAAGACAACGACACTATGCCTCTCTTCATGAAATCAATGTGAACCGCTTGCGCGTTCCGAGATTCAGCGGTGAACGGGACCCCCACCCTGCAACTTGCAGACGTCTCGGAACGAAAAAGGATTCATTTGGAATATAATTAGGCGAGGAATATTACTCACGAAGACAGTGGCTCAAGGTTCTAGATCATGATAATTGGTTCTTTACCCTTCTATCTGGCAACAAAACTGACACCTTTTTGCAAAAAGGTGTCAGTTTTGTTGCCAGATAGAAGGGTAAAGAACCAATTATCATATTTTTACTGGCAAATGAGGTCCCCATAGTGTAGTTCTAGATCATCACAACGGAATAGCAAATCACTGCTGAAGCTCTGTGCGGTGGTCGTGTGGATGTGACCAGGAGGCTCATAAGTTCCAGTACTGAGACGGCTCCGTGGATATGGTGGGTTCGAATCCAGGCGGACGTCTATGATTATACCAGGTTTTCAAATGGCGAGTTGGTGGGTGATAAAATAACACTGCCTTGAAAAGGAAAAGTATATGCTCGGTGATATTTCGGGCAATGTCCCTGCGTGGCTGCACAAAGAGAGTCCAGAAAGGTAAAGTGGCCTGTCTATGTTGCTGCGAAGGACAAAAAGTGATGAGGGTGTGAACACTTCACACATGTCCTAAAGAATTCTATGCTTGTGGCATAAGGGCGATGGGCCATATGCGTACATATATCACAGGGCAAATGTCTTGAGAAATATGCACTTACATTTCAAATGTTCTGAATCTAAAAGTGCAGGTTAACCTTGAAACACTCATGCAATGTATATATAACAAAAAAAATCAATTGTGCAAGTGTCAAGAGATGAATTTGACTCTGATGTGTGTTTCCTGGCCGCAGTGAAGACCTAGAGAGTCTGCCAACTGTAAACTGGAGTTCCCAAGGGCACAATTCAACTCCTGGATTACCCATTCTCTTTTTGTTCAGGGCAAAAAAAAATGGGTAAAGTTACATGCTCCTGACACACTTTTATTTTTGTATCAGCTCCAACAAAACGAATAAACAATTGAAACTTTCCAAATGTATAGTGTTTTGGCAACTTGAGGATGGATACTAAATGCAATTATTGATGGAATTACTTAAGATCATCTACATATTATGTGCCGCTATAAAGGGTAATGGGTAACGCCTGACATAAATTTGTATCTCGATGCAAAATATGTGCTCAACCTATTAGATGACAGCTTGCTCATGATGAAAATGAATGCAGTTAAGGCTCTTCCTGCTTAAACAAATACTACAATAAGAAAAATTGGATTTATAGTGTCAAATTGAAACTGCATTTCAGCACACTGTGCAGAAACAGTGATCAGTAAGCCATAAACAGAGGAAAAAAGGAAGGTCTTCAGACTTTACTTAAAGGAGCAGCAGATGAGAATAGGTTTTTCCCCTTTTTTCTGGCAACAAAACAGGTGTTAAGATGTTAAAACACCAAACTAAAACCTTTTACAAGGAATCATGTCTGCATTAACCACAATACTTGTGGTCAGAATGCAAAAAAAAACACTCTCTAATAATATATGCATTGACTTTGAAACTGATTGGTCCACACCAGAGACAGCTTTCTTTTGAGCCTATTCTCAAAACGGTGTTAGACCATCTTAACACCTGTTTTGTTGCCAGAAAAAAGGGGAAAACCTATTCTCATATTTTAGTACTGGCAAAGGAGGTCCCATGATGGAGCAGCAGATGAACGTTGAACTTATTTCCTACTATACATAGCAAACCATGCCAATCGGAGATGCGGGGGAAGGACGACAAACTAAACACAAAAAGCAGTTCCAATAAGTTTTCAACCTAGATTTAAAAGTGCATAGCTCCAGTGGCTTCTGAATATCAGAAGGAAGAGCGTTCCAGACGGTTGCAGATGAGAATGAGTGACATTTCACCGAGTGAAGGTTGACTGGGGACTTCAATATGGAACCTTTGTTGTTGGAGTAGTGTGTGAAGGGGAGTTGAGTGAGATGAGAAGGTAGAGGTAGGCAGGGGTGAGTCCATAAAGGAACTTTAAGACAGTGTGATCTTAAAATTGACCCAGGATTTGGTTGGGAGCCGGTAGTGAGTATTGGTGCGATGTGAAACGCTGCTGGTGGGGAAGGGTGACGGACTAAAAACCGCTCTGACCAGTGATCAGCACGAAACTTACGGTCAAACAATTCCCACAAACGACATGTCATGGTGAACTCTTCATCCAACAATGGATTAATGGCTATAAATAATGTAATGTATCTACATTTTGTATTGTTTAGTAAATGTTTGTCAATTTCACAAAGTAACGTTTCTTAAGGAAATAGATTCTTTTGCAAGTTTCAAAGGGCTATAACAATGGCTGAGGACCTTTACGATGAACCAGGCTGCGTCGCACGCAATCGCAGAGACGCAGTAAACGCGGTATGCAAATAGTTAGCATTTTTAAGGCATTAATGAAATGAATGCAACACAAAGCTCAACATTCTCACCTCGACTATGGCAACAAAATTGCGACAAAAAGTTTTCAGTTCTTACTCAGAAAAATGCAGTGCTTTGCTATGAAGATGTCTTGTGGCCCTGGTAATGATTAAATGTCACCGGCAGAGAGGAAGGTAAAAAGGTCAGAAGTGCTGCGATTTCCACCACCCTCCCCACCCCCCAAAAAAAAAAAACAATCCTCTTGCGTTGAACATGGCTCGCAAATTCCTGATGTAATGTAATATCTGATGAATGGTATTTTTTTTTCGTTAGGCTTCTTACTGCTAATGGTTCTTGATTAGACACTTTTTTTTGCCCTATTAAAGATTAACGTCCCACTTTTACGCAATCTCTACATTCGGCAATACTGTTGTCGACACGAGTGCACACAAGGGACGCTCGCTGCTGTAAACCAACAATAGCGGCCAAGGGTTTGACTTTTGCACAGCACTTCCTGCATTGTCTATTTTTGGAGTGACTCTCTTGATTGCACCTCCATTTGTGTTTCCACCGACTTCCAACATCGCATTCTTAAGTTCCCGTCACATCACACGTCTGCCATGGAGTCCGTGCCAACACCTGCCACGAAGCATATACTCTACCTGGTCTTACATTTACACATCCAGCCCTTCGTCAATTCACTGCTGCATGAACGCTTCCCCCTCCCTACACCGTGTCGGACGTGGGAATTGTTTAACCGTATCACACCGTGCTGGTCGATGCGGGTTAGTGAGGCGATGGCAGAGAATCAAACTTAGGTTTGCAGAGTTTTTAGCGCAGTACGCTGACCACTGGACTGCCGCTGCACATATTCATAGAAGTTTCCTTCATTTGCCAGATGATAGTCCAGAGAGTAGGCAACTGACAATTCACCCCATGGCAATTCCAAAAGATTATTCCAGATAGTTGTTTTGCTCGTTTACACACGATTGGATGGGTGTACCATTCAGTTTAAGAATTGATTTTAACTGATAAGGATGAATCATTACATCTTTTGTAAGGGAGATAATACAGAATAGAATGTGATCCCTTCTGGTAGCACAAACCTTTATAAAATGGAGGACTACTCAATTCACACTTTCACGTAGAGTATACCTACCAACATTAGTCAAGGCCGCACTAACAATGCAAAAGAGACTGGCTCCAGGAGATATGAAAAGTTGCTTTAGGTTCCCTTTAGGTTGGAGATGACAGGGTACCTCAGTGGGCTAATTACCAGGTCAGAAAACTCATCGGGCAATGCTAAGATTGTGCGTTTGAATCTGGAAACTGAGATCAAACTGGGTACTCAACCCGGCAAGTTGAACGTCGATGCCCGCTGACCAATGAGTTACACGAAAAAGCGCCACCATATTTAATACTGCATTTCACATACCAGGAATTTGTCAACTTCAGCTCCGAGGACTAAAACATATTAAGTTTGACTGCCATGTAACAAAGGGCATATGAGAGACAGCACCATCTCAGGTGCTTCAACGGCAATTGACAGAGAAGCTCAGAAACAGTTCGGCGGTCTGGGCCCCCCCTGCCCTGTTCGACCCAGGGTGGAGTTGCGCAACCCTGCATACTCAATAGCCACCCCAACTGGTTTTGGCGCATTGGTGGCGGGGGTAGGGGGGGGGTCGGCTTGAAGCACGTGAACGGCACTCACCAGATGAAGTCGCGGCAGTGCGAGCAGTAGGTGGGTTGGCGCAGGTACGTGGCCATGAACTTGTGTCCATTGACCTGGTGCACGCGCCTCCGCACGGCGCCCTGCCTCTTGCGGGGCCGCACGCGCTCACGGAACACCGGCCGCTCTTTGGTCTCCTTGGGTGCTGAGCGGGACAAGCGCGGGAGGCCAGAGATGCCATGCACACGATATGGTTAGAACTTCTTTTGTGTTTAGTTTGTTGTTCTTCTCCTGTACCTGGATGGAATGCGCATTATGAAATTGTATTATCACAGTGCGAAAGATGTTCAACATACGTACGTACAAAAAAGAGGAACAAGTGGTTTCGCGAGAGAAAAAGTGGCAATAGAATTTACATAGTATCCGAATGTGACCACATCTCAAGATACTGTAAAGCAACAGTGGGCTTGTAGAATGTATTTGAGAGATGCAGCGAGTCATAGACACATGAAGATATAAAGGTCGTGAGTTTGGACTTGAACAGAGGCAGGGAGTCAATAGTCCTGACGGCTGGTGGCAGGTAGTTCAAGACTACATATCTGTGAAAAACTACTGGACATCTATGAAAAAGAGCTTTATAGCTCATCGGATTCCTCCAGAATAAATACAGATTCTGAAAACGATGGGTGCAGTAAAAGAGTGTTGGGCTACCTACAAAATAAGCAAAGGTTGACTGTGGGCTTCCCTGTTGCATGGAGAAGAGGGACATTATTACGCTTGACAAAGACACTTTTTAATATTGGTAGTATATTCGGGAACAATTATACATAAAAGTTACTCAAGTTTGGTTGGTGCACTTTTGTTTACCACCTGAGCCAGTAGTGGAAATTCCACATTCCTAGCAGGGCTCAGTGTATCTACATATTCACATACGTGTGTCCGGCTAATCTGCAGCAAGACCTCGACATCCGCAAGGGTTCTATTCTTGAAAATATGCGCGAAAACACAATTTGCGAATGTACACACTTTGTTTATATAGAAAAAGGGGGTCAGGGTCCCATGTCCGACTGAAGACACTGGATAAAATGATTTTTTTTACTTTAATCCTGTACTGTACACAGAAATAGCATCCATGTACTTAATTAAATTGCACAATAACACAAACAGAAAATAACACAAATAATACAATTAAATGGAATGAATACAAAATATATATATACTATACATTTTGAAGTTCCATGTACTTTGGATGATGATGGGAGTGTGATGATGATGAAGAGCAAGTCGATCCAACAATTACTTTTTGAGCTAAACTCACCACTCTTTCTGCCTTTTACTCTTGCTCTCACTTCTTCCATTCACTTGACGCTTACGACCCCATGATCAAAATAAAAATACCCACCACAAATGATGCAAAAATAGCATAAAATGCAACAGACACTAGACCAGCAAAAGCAACACAGCGTTTGGAATAGCGGTAGGACTGAAACAATAGCTTGGGTGCACGCACGGGTCACAGTCCACGCGTGTATCGCACAGGCAACTCCTCCGCCACAATTCCATGTCCATAATCAACGTTTTTGGGTCAGATCGCGTTATTTATAAATGTGTCGTAACCCTCCACCACCCGACACGGCCAATCAGCAAAAAAGTGTCACGTTGACAAAAGAAAAATAGTTCACTGCTTTAGCCCACCGGTGTGTTGAAGCGTGAAACCACAACATTTACAATTTTTGAGTACGACGTTTCGCTGGTAATTGCATCCAGCATCATCGGGCAATTCGGCAAAATGGTGAGGCTCTGCTCTTGCTCCCGGTCTTAAATAGAGCAGCAGCAGGGTGACATCATCATTCAACTCATCAGGTGCAACGATTCCATGTTGCCAAATTGCGAACGGTCGAAGGGAAAAAAAGGCGTGAAACTTAAAGCGGTGTACAAACGTAACATTGCAAATAACTGAATTTCGTGGAAGAAAAGTCTGCGAGTGACGAAAAGGTTTTGCGGGAAGTATCTTTGCATGTTTATATGTTTCTCTGGAGAACGGCTCCGAGACCACTCCACCAATGTCAATTAACGAGGTATCATTTGAAAACTCACGATACAGTAAATGTAGTTTCTCCTAACGAGGACACAGTTCAGGATCTACTTGACCTTTGACAGCACTCGAGTTGTTGGCTTCGGTCATGCTCATCCGCTCGTGAGGACTGATGGTCTGAGGACCGGTGAGTAGTGTCACGTGAGTGATGTTTGGTAAGAATCAGCTGAGTGTGAACTGAGCAGTTATGTCACCCCATCCATAGGACAGACTGCCCACTAATTGTACAAACACGTTCCTTCGGAGTGGGCAGGTAGGAACTTGGTTGGACCGCGTATTCGTGCGATCCGTGTCATACGGCGCAAGCTGCGTGGGGCCGCGCGTCACGTGGTGCTGAGCCTGCCCAAAGCGCCCGATTAAATACATGCTATGCACGACAGACAGACAAATAATCCCTGGTGGGCAGTGAGGAACTGTTGTTCCTACCTGTATAACTGTCGACTTTCACAATTTAGCACTCAGTTCATCGGACCCACGCGGGATGCAGGTCTAATGAGGGTTATAACGCATTCTTCAGTAAAATTTTGTTATGTATTTTTGAGAAGTTCTATATCAGACTGAAGTAAAAAGAATCTAATTTAAAATTCTAAATTGGTTTAAGAAAAAAAGTCTCTATTAATTACATTTTGCCTCTTGTTATAATCACTTAATTTAATTCACATTGCTTATCTAAAATGCATTTGGAATCTAACAGGCTATGTAATAAAATAGAATACATGTGTGCATAATGTTCTGAGTGGCATATGATTCTAATTATGATGCCCAATTGGTTACCAAGGAAAGCCTCACTGAGCCAATAGATGTTTTTTTAGGATGATTCTGCTTTTTGATGGTTGGCCAATTGAATGTATAATTGGGTTTGCGTGAGAGCAGAATTCAGAGTATCTGGAGAAAATCCACACACATGGGAGGTGTCATTCAACAACCGCCATATCCTGACTACCCATCAGCCCCATGCCCACGACAACTGACAAGCCCTGGTAGTCCTCTGTTCAAATACTAACCAGGCTCAACTTATCTTCCAAAATCTAGCCAGATTAGGGTGCTTTAGTCCTATCAATGAGGATCACAAAATCCGTCATCCCATCTCACTCTACTCCCCTCCATGTATATCTCCTTCGCTCCAGCAATCAAGGCTTCCCATTGAAGTCCTCAGTCACACTTTGTTGAGTGGGATAATCGTTAATTCTCCTCTGCTGTCGCAATCATCTGGAACGCCTCTCCAGCTGTCCATGCTGTCGACCCTCTGCCCCTGTTCAAGTAAAAATTCAAGGCTTTCTTCTTCTCTGCCTTGAACTGACTGTCTCTCTGGACTAAACGTATACCCACTGTTTCTGCACAACGTCTAAAGATGCAATCACATTTAGAGACCACATAAATCCAAATTGTATTCGTTTTATACGCATATACATGCAAAACAAGTGGCTGACTTCACTGAAAACGTAACATTTTGTACTGGATTATCAACTATAAAACCCCACTTTACTTCAGCCACTACTTCCCATACAAATATGTTTTATAAATGCATATTCCAACACTTTCTTTGACCCAATCGAGCACGGAATGTAGGAAGGCTGAAATGGCAAAGAAGCCATTCACAGTTTTCATTGGAAATACAAATAAAATGCCAATACTGAAAAGTAGAACAATATTTTATTGAGTTGTGTGCACCATTGGCAACACAATAAAGTGGAAAATGTTTACGAGGACAAATGTTTCGTGGGTTCTCCCTCAAGCCTCGCCGTATTGAAAAACGCTCAAGTAAAAGAGCAAGTCATTATGTTATTGTATATCCCCTATTGTTGTCGCCTATCTTTGACCTAGATATTAAATAAAGGTCTATTTTAGGCACGTAACGCTGCAATATTGAACAAAAAAAAGGACGGAATAGGAAACTTGTCTGGAGAGTTGATGGAGGGCAGGAAATTCTGGCAATAAATCTAAAGTGCAAGTAGCACGTTTGTTCGGGTTTCATTCAACCGGGAAAAAATATTTTGTGGCAGGGTCACAATAAAAAAAAACATGAATACCAGCTAGGGTTAAACACCTACATTTGAAGCACGTATATCTCTAAAAGTGTCCATTTACTGCTCTGCATCAATCGTTTAAAATAAAATACTAACATATGCATGGTTCTTTCGATAAAGTCACGTAGATAGAAAAAAAAACGAATAAAAAATCTTTCTACCCACGTGACTTTACCAAAAGAACCAAAGAGTATGAATTCCTGCAGTCACGAAAGCTTCAAATCAAAATAGTAACATTTCTTGCATGTTACTCAAAAAATCCAAGTCAAGTAAAAAACGAACAAATTATTTCAGTAAAGCGTGTTTTATAATGTACTTATAAATGTACCAACTTGTTTACGCCGACATTAAAGGATTGAAAAAAGCTCAACGGATTAACCGTGCCATTTCAAATTTCAAAACGCTGAATAAGTTTTAAAATATGCTCGGTATTTTTCCTTCATAATTTACATTCAAACAGCACGCAATTTTACCCGCGGTTATTTATTTATTATTTCCCGCCCCCCCCCCCACTCCAAAAAAAAATCATAACCAACTGGGGAATATATAAAACACGAGGAGCTGCATGCCGATGTGTATGAGCTTTGGTAAACAGCAAGCTACCGGGCATTCCAGGGTTCGCACGTGCACAGATTCAACATCGACACTGAATGTCTCGTTATACGCTACGCTGTGTAGTACACTGCTGGATGAGGGTCTCCCCCTCAGCGTGTGTCTGTGACGGAGGTTTGTTTGACCATGATGGTGAGTGTAGTGGGCCAGGGGAGGGCCCAGGACAGGTTCAAAATGTCCATGCCACGACCAGGACTCGAACTCGGGTCACGGGGGTTGACCAATGGGTCACCGCTTCACCCTGTGTGTATGTATGTATATAATAATAATAATAATCCACTCGGCATGTGTTGCCTTACGGCAGTTTTAGTCCCAAGGAATCCCTCTCCAGCTCAGCTTAATGGCACGTAGCCCCAGCAAGTTTTCAGGAAGTGACCAATTTAGTACGGTAATTTAGTAATTGCTGGCAATTCTCCAAAAACGGGCTGAGAATTAGGAACACAATGGCCTCCTCTTATGAAGAGCGTCGAGGGATCTTTTTACACATCCACGGATGCTAAGATGTCAGCGTTCTTGCCACGCACTTACAGGGGAACGTGAAGGTACGAGAGTCAAACCAGTCACCGTAAGAATCTGGCACCAGTTCACAACCCAGCAGAGCTAGCGTATAGTTTAGAAAGTGGATTTATCTTGGCCACTATTAGAGGAATCACCGTCGCATTAATACACGCTCTGCTGGCTCCGTGATATCACCCACAGGCGCTGGAATGAAAATCTGTCCGCCAGGGGAAGGGAAAAAAACATCTACAGTACGCATGCATGTGCGCATGTGTCACCCACGGAGTTTAGGCACTTTACAAGGATCTTTGGTATTTCCAGTGACATACGAATTAGATGAGTCTATACTCTGAAGGATGACGCCTACATATTTCCCTCTTTGATCTTAAAGATAAAAGTCAATTTTCAAAAACATCATTCCTATGTGGCAATTCACCTTACAAGTGAACAAATGGATCATGATAATCCACATATAGGTGCATACGTACAGCTCCTTGTTTTTCCACTGCTGGATGAGTGCCTCTCCAAGCCATATGGGTTAAGAGTGTTATTTAGTAACTCACGACCATCAGTGCAGGTTGATGAAAGGAGTACAGATGTAGGAACATAGACGAACAGCACGACAGATTTAGCTGCATGGCACTCGACTGCCCATAACGCAGGCCCTATGTACTACAACTGTGAGGGCAGAGCAATGAAATCAGCCATCGAAATAGCCTCTATTCATCAGCATTCCCACTTCCATTGACACCATCATTAATATCGGAGCCGCACTGTATGCCGAAACGTGTTGCATAAAGAGGATTTCTGGATATTCTGTGCCATGTTCCCTTAAAACCCTGCGCCGATGTAGCTGGCACGCTGCCCTCTGGCGAGCTTCCTGCTGCCCTGCTCTGCCCACACCCACTGCGCCACCCTCCCTTCATCTTCCCCACTTCGATCAACAAGAGGGCTATTATATGTCTGCTTCCCGCTTAAACTCTACACCGCTAGCGGCCGACCTTTTGTCCACTCAGGGGGGGCCGTGTTTCCAGCTGTAAAAGGCAGCGGGCATCTGCACCGCCGCCAACCCCATGACCCCGCTCTCTTGCAGGTTTGCAGAACAATTGCGCGCGCACGCTCTTGGCAAATTACGTTCGGGGCAAATTACAGAAGAGCCGTGCGCTGCAGATACCCTGTCGGTTTGCAAGAGCACAATGTTTTCACTCGTTAACGTGTCAGGAACGGCACATGGAGTACGCTTTGCAAGCGCAGTAACTGTCGGTTACGCAACCTCAACGATATTCGGTAATATTTTATGTACACGTACAGCCCTTTTGTCCATCCACTGCTGGATGAGGGCCTCCGCCCACCAGGCAGGTCGTGAGGGTGATTAGACCAACCTGCACCACACCAGTCAATGCGTGGTGAAAGCGGAGAGCATAAGATGTTGCAGCATAGTTCAGTACTACAATGGTTTTTTTTTTCTGCACTGCCCTCTGCTGATAACGTAGGCTTGCAGCAGCCTACGCCACCTGTTTTTATACAGGCCGGTTACTCATCCAAGCGCAAAACAGGCTCAAATATGAACTGATGAGATCGGGCACATCCTGGGTTTAAGTGGGAGGAATTACTCCTATGTCAAAGATATGAAAAGAGAAAATCTGATCCATCAGCTAATGGTGCTATGAGTGCGAAATGAGGGTGATGAAAAGTGATTACTTCAAGCTGGAGCTGTTATTGCATTTAATAATCACGGGCGGTTTGTTACCATTCAGTTTACGGCATAGTGGCCACCTTTTTTTCCAGTCCAGCAGCAATTATTTGACAGAAAGGGAACAGTCGCATTATAAAACGCTCTGTGTATTTTAGAGCGACATGCAGCTAAAAGGCCTATTGTTGTCTTTAATGCATGTAACTGCACATACCAGCTAAGTGCAGTACAAGGTAACTTTTGACTGCTGCATTGAAAGCTGCTCATGTGGACACAATTTAAACAACAGCGACGAACATTACAGGATGCTGGCCATCCCTGCTCTAAACATAATGGAAAGTAAAGCGGAGAAAATGATGGTTTATTGACTTGGCCAAGACAAGAGAACTATAAATGTATCGAGCATGCACCGATTGAATAACCCGAGGCATTTCTCTTGCGGGACCATCAATAAGCCATTAAACTAGGCAACCTTTCAAAAACAATCTCGTCCGATGCAGGCTTTCCACCCATCCTTCCATTTTTGGTCTCCCCGCACGTAACATCGAGTATTATAATCTAAAAATCACAGACTTTCAATTCCGTGGGATAGCTTCCCAAACAAATTCCCTTTGAAAGACTCACGAGCAGCACGTTATTAACCCACGGAAAGGGTTTGTTGTGCAAGTGAGTCATACATGGTAATGTGATGCATAAATTAGGTCCCCGTGATGAACTGTAACTGCACGCGCTGCTGCTGCTGCTGCTGCAGGTATTGCCGCATAGTTTGGCTTGAATGGACCTTTCATGAAGGACGTGACTTCACTGTGGCGTTTTATTTTTCCATTATGTGGCATTTCCAAATTTCAACTTTGCGAAAGGATATTTTCCTTTTCCGCTTTGAAAAAAACGTGAAGAAGTTTGAAGCTCTCCAGCTCCCTTAATGTTCGCCAATGTGGGCAGTTTTTCAATTTAGCCCAACTGCGATAAAAATCTATCTCAGTTGTTATAGTTGGATTTTTTTCATTCTCTGGAATAAAGCGTAAAGCTGTTGCCTTCTGAATTATGCAGTTGGTAAAGAATGCATCTGTTTATGGCCTTTGTCGTGCTGTTAATGTATTCTCATGGGCTGCCTGTAGCTATGGCAGCCAGCTGTGAGATCACTTTTCTTGAAAATAGGCTGCATTATGGCCCAATTAAGGCCGGGCGTTTTGGTACAAACGACGGGGCCGGGGCCCGGTGTGCAAAAAAAAGACGCACGCGGCCCCAAAATGCGCACGTGCATGTGAATTTCACAAACAGAGCACATGCAGCTGTCTGTGGTTGGAGTTTGAATGCGCCACACTTACTCAGGTCAATGATGACATACACCTTGCCTTCTGGCTCTAGGTCCACCTGTTGAAACAAAGCACACGAATCCAGAAATGTCAAATGCAATTTATACTGAAAGTAAAACGTTAATTTGAGCAACAATTTAGAGTCGTACGTTAATCCACTGCTTGAAAACAAAGAGGCTTCCCCCACGCTGGAAGTCATTTTTGTTCGTTTAACTATATTTCACCACTCCGGCCAGTCCGGGTTGGTGAAGGGGGGTATTATCACTGAGGACCGGCTCAGATATCACTGTCACTGATGTTAGCCATGATTGAGAATCGAACTCGGGTTGACTGTGTATAATTGAAATACAGGAGTACATTCTTATAAATAAAAAAAGAACAAAAGTAATGTGAACACAATTTTTTTTTATATAACATTAATACAATGAATGTAATATTTTTTTTAAATAAAATAGTACCTTGACCAACAGCACAGGATAACACGATAACATGTTCGTACATTTTCTTTAGTTTAGAGTTCAAAAGCCTCATGAATACACATCAGAGCCGATAATTAATGAAACCAGTCAAATTGTTTCATCTACCAACTGCAGTTTGAGTGATGATGTCCAGAAGTGTGAATCACGAAGAAATGGAAGCCAAAGAAGGGAATGGGAGCCCGAGAGTAGAATCAGAGATGCCTCAATAAAGTCGGCTCATGCGTAGATGACCTGTGGCATCATGAGAGATGCCGTTTAGAATCATAATCTTTAGACAGGAAGAATTCGATGAGATATGAAGCTGTTTATCACAGATGTCCAGTAGTAGCACGGGGGTCATAACGTTACAACAAACAATACAAAAAAAACAATAGGAGTGCAAAGTATAGGACATGTAAGAAAATCACTAAAAATAGAGGCCTTCACCCAGCAATCATGGATGATGATAATTATATAACTAATAAAACAAAACCTGAGAGACACAGGTTTGAGTCAGACAACTGGCAGCTCCACGTCACCAGCTACTGGTGGCACATGACTAGAATACGGCACTTGGCACGTGGGTCACCTCGACTTTTCAAACTCTCAAACCCGTTACGCTGCTATGTGGCGACGAGTTGGCAGCATTGCAAATGGGATCGTTTACCGATTTGTGTGGACTGTTGCACATGTACAGCCCCTTTTTGTCAAGCAACCGCTGAATGAGGGGGCCTCATCATTTCATGGGAATTAATTTGAGCATACTTCACCACGCTCGTGAGTGCAGGTTTGTTTGAATGCATAGGGTATAGACATTAGAACACAGAAGTAAAGTACAAAATTATATTTCTTCTGCACTGCTCTCTGCTATCCACCATGTAGCCCTGCAGCCCTATTATGATCTGCACATGGTCATCTCCCATAAAAGTATCACCCAGTCACAATTTTGCTTAGATCTGACAAAATATGGAGCACTCTGGGTGATTTGATCAGATGCTCTCGGAGTGTTATCCCCTGTGTGACTTAACACCAGATAGCAAATTTTCCCTCCCACATGCAAAAACATACATTAAATAGAATTTGCCATACATGCATGACCATCTTGAAAAATACTGAAACCGAGTGAGGCTTTCTGGAACGCATAAAAGACGCCGGTGCAACGTTACGTTGGAAATCCATATCCCTGACAGCACCGATGTGTTTGGCTGGAACAAGTGACCCATGAATTCCATGCAACGATGTTAACATCAAAGCATTCGCAAGGTGAACTAAATGCCAGCGGGCGTCGGTTTTGGGGGAAATGCACCACCTCTGTATGAAAGCCGATCGGCATTTGAAACAACGCGCGGCAAGATCTGCCACACCCCTACACACCGCATGGCCAGCATCGGGGTTGCTGAAACGCACCCCACTTACTTACAATCCGCCCCAGACCAGGGGTCGGCAACCCGCGGCTCCAGAGCCGCGTGCGGCTCTTTACCGACTGCTTCGTGACTTAATGTGCGTAATCACATTGCATTGCGGGTCTTGAAATATCGAGTTTTGTACCGAATTCGGAAAAAAAATGGCTCCTCTTGTTATTTTCGTATCTGACCCATCCCCGACTCTGGTACAGCATGGCACGCTCAGTCCAAGTCCACACGGAACATGCTGCCAAATACCACTTAAACAATGCGATGTTACCAATGCCATGGAAATACCCATTTGCTTAATCTGTTGACATTTGTATGAAACATTAACGCATCGTATTACAGTGCGTGGTCTGACAGGCTAGTTTGTATTCCTGACATGTTGAATAAAGAGGGCTCCCTCCGAGGGTCTGGAATTTATTAACAAAAAGCCGACGAGTGAGTCACGCTCAAAATTCTGAACTAGAAATGGAATTGGAATGATTGAAATGAAGTTACCTCCCAATGAATGCTAAATATGTTTTAATAGTTAATGTATAATTAAAGTTATAATTAAAACATATAATTATTACCCGTAATTAAGTTGATAATTAAAGTGTCGGGATGCATTGACAACAAGCGGCAGTGCAGCAAAATGTTGTTGGACTGTACTATGATCCAATGTTTATGCTCCCCCTCCGTCACCAGCCAGCACTGTGCGGTGTGCTGAAGTATGGTCCAAGATGCCCCACGACTTACATGGCATGGAAGGTCCCTTAGCAAGACAGTGAACTGGCAACACGGCTATACGTGCACATGTACAAAACATAACTTATTCAAGCAACAGATCTCAGTAAAACTAAGCAAGTCATCCTTACAGCTTGCAGATTACAACACAAAAACTGTGGTTAATGTCAGCTCACACCCAAATACAACTTCGCATTTGCAAAGTTAAACAAGGATGCTTCGTTCCTCGTTTACTGCTTTGTAGATAATAACTTCACGACAATGCAAAAAAAAAACACTGTACATATTGTTTCTTGTCATTACACACCAGCCTCACTTGCAAACTGAACCTGATCGGTTGCCTAAGGCTTTGCAATCGCACGTGAAAAGTGAGTCGTAATTAAAATAACTTTTGCAAATCAAAAAATCCCTTCAAAGCTGCCGAGTATCAGTGTTTAAACATTCATACTTTCCCACTGGATATGTGTAAGCCAGCCTGCTTGTGCCCGATAGCGCCCGACCACATGGCGGCGGTGAAATCAACACAATTCTGCAAGCCAATGTGTGAGATAAGGCAAGAGCAATTGTGCTGCGGATTAGATGACATTTGCGAGTCAGTCAGTCATCAGCCAATGGATTTTTATTCGGTCTAAACTCTATGGTATGGGGTTTCAGTCTCTCAAAATGACAGCAATCTTTCAGGACACTGCATTATGACTGATATACTTAATGCTGGATACAAAGAACACTTTAAAACGTAGCTTTTTTTCATGATAATAAATTCACTGCGCCACTGCGGCAGCAACGTGACGTTCGCTTCGTCGGCAAGCTTACATCTAGCCATGGAAAAAAATAACACGGTAAATACCACACTGACCAATTAGACATTACAATGAACTAATCTGACCCTGCAAAGATCACGGGAAATGTTAAAACTTTAAAGGAAGGGGTTTGTGGGCACAGCGACAGATTTTGCAGTTGGCCGTGCAATCGCTATTCACTTACAGCGGCTAAGAGTTGCATGGCACCGTCTCTCACGTCTATGGGTTAGGTTTATTGATTACCTTGCTTGAATTTGTTGATAAACTTAGCTGCAATTTTACAGATAAGTTTTGATAAAGCTTTGCTTTTCACGCCGTGTATTTTGATTTTGACGAGTTTGACATGATGCGTGTTTCAGCGTAAAGTTCATCTTTTGGTATACTAGTTTGATATTTTCTAACGATTTCACTTGACAAGATACGTTATGTAAATTTATATTATCACAAAATGGCAATATTCCACAGCATGCTACATTACAACCGATACTTTTACCTACGATTTATAATTGATATAATTTTATTCCGACTGCATTTTCTGGCTTCGTTCATAACACTGCGCCTACACCCCACTAAAATATATGAACAATTTTTTTAATTAAACCTGTTGTACAACAGTTCGTGAAGAATATTTTACAGCTACTGTACCCAGCACAGTAATCCAAGAGAAAAAAAAACGTTAGTGACCGTGGTAAGTGCAGAAAGCCATGCTTTGAACAGGATTTATATTATTTTCAGTGGCTATGGATACACACCAATGTTCTCAAAAAATATGTGGTTGCATATGGGTCAAAATATATTTCTTAACCCAATATTGACTCAGAGATTACACTCAAGAGTCTTTTCAAGCTGTTCAATCAAAATAAATAGATGCACTGCTGGACAGTGCAACGTGCAAAAGTAATCAACTTGGAAGACCCTGCTCCGACAAAGCCAAGGACAGAACATGAAATGATGATGAATGTTATGTTTGGAAGAAATAGCCTGTGCAGTAAAAAAAAACGAAACCACGATGAAGATAGCACTGAACCACCTTCCACCTGTCGACCTTGAAGGGGAAGGCGGCAAGGGAACTGCACTGGCTGATTGCATTTCCCAGCGGCTGCGGCGATGTGATCGGCTCAATTCAGACCGGCCAAATTGGTTGCCGAGGCGGTTAGACAACGCGTTGGTTAGAATTAATTTAAATGGAACACGACTGTATTCAAAACAAAAGTGGGTGTATCGGTGTAAAATTACCATGACCGCACTGTTTGCGCTTCAAGCTTACCAGTACTAGCCCAATTTTGGGAAAAACACATTTTTTTTACCGCAAATCTTCGCCACCGCCTACACACCTAACCCACACTGACCAAGATGGTGAAGCATGGCCAGATAACCCCCCCCCCACGACCCACACGTTATGCAGTCGCCCTCATTCGGCAGTGAAATGACAAGTGAATTGTGCGTGTACACTGTACCCTTTTGTCCAGAAATTTGATGAACTGTCACAATTCGGGATCACAATTCCATTAAAGAACAGAGTTAATTTCAGCCTCTTTTTGACCATCTCCTTTGCATTGTTTTTATATAATTTGCATCTTTTTTGTTCCCCGCTCAATCTCCCAAATGGTAACACTGGAAAATGCATTTCATAAACTGTAAATAATTGATTCTCGCACAGAAAATTGCAAATGTATGATTTTCACAAACGCGACTCGATGCATTTATAGCGTGCATCACAAGCATAAGGATAGATCTAAAATGCTTAATTACACACCTAACAAATATACGCTTACCAAAACACATTCTCAGCCAATTGCCCAATAACTAATTTTGTTGAAAAAGCTTAACCTCTCTGATGAGACCCAGATGGCCGAAACTCATCCCGAGTTTGCTTATATACAGTTTTCATAACAATAATCATATCATTGTCACGCAACCTCTACATTTCGAAAACGCCAATCCTTGGCGCACAATATAAGACAGCACGATAACACCATCTCAGCCGATACCCATGGGTGTTAACAATGGTGGCACGTGCGTAGCAGTAGGAAGATAGTGACACACACATATATCATAGCAGGAGCTCTCTGCGGGAAAAAACTAATAATGCAGCACCGAGATGAGGAATGCCTCATTAGCCGTGGCATTTGCCTTCTCACCGAAAGCCCTACAGCACCTTGGTTGTATATCGCCCTGCCACAGCAAGTAAACCCAAGTAGAGCCTTATGGATGTATTCGTATACATCTCCTGCTATTCCACTGTGAACAGCACAAACAAGGCATGCGGCAAAGTTAATGCTACGGGATGTTTTAATTGCACATTTCGTCCAAGCACTTTGTTCTTTCCCTCCCACCCACCACCTATGCTGTCCGTACAACCGCTGTACCGTGAAATTATGCGACAAGCACCACTCATATTAATAGTGTACATCCATATTCCAAGCCCCTACCGCTTAATGACACCGCGAGCTCATATCTCGTAGAGATCCAACATTTAAACAAAAAAATTATTTTTTAAAAATCTTTTTTTTTACGCGACACAGAGGGATAGGCCTGCAGCCATATCAAGGGCCCGGATTTGCCAGAGTAGGAAATTGGTTGATCTTTGTAAAAAGCCGAAATATTGCGACATCACCTCTTGAAATGTTTCATTTTACATGCACAGCATGTGTTACATGTGTAATATTAATCCATGCACAAACAAAAAGTGCAATGTCATATGTGATGATTACATTTCAATAAATTATTTAAATTTGCTGATCCACTTCTGGATGAAGGCTTTGCTATACCATATCAGTCATGGGAGTTGCTTAACCATACTTCATTACGTAAAAATGTAATTCTTACGCAGAATAAAACACATTCCTGCGGAGGGAACTGGTAAGAACGTTGGGTTGCTCGGTCAATGGCAAGGGTCAACGGCGGCGTGGTGTATTCCGCAAATATGCCCGACTGTGAGGGCGGGCACAAGCCGGCGCGAGTAGGTTAAACGTTGAGTTTTATAAGGGCACCACGGGGTGACCAGCCCCTCCCCACCCAGCCCCTCCCTCCCCTCCTTCCCCACTCAGCCCCTCCCTGCACGACGGATGGACACAATAATCCCCTGTGGGCTGGTGTAACCAGGAGGTTCCTACCAGTATTAGTAAAAGCTTTATATCCTTTTGTCTATCCACTGCAGGATGAAGGCCTCTCGCCATGTGGTTGTCAGTTGTGGGAGATGTCTGGCCACACTACACGATGTTCGTCAGTGTGGACTGTTAAAGTGGGGGAGTCTAGAATCGGCTCGTACAACATCCGCCAGCGATGTTAGCTGTGACTGGGAATGGAACTCAAGTTGCCGTTTTCATAGTGCGTCGAGCTAACCACTCACTGTGCTAGCGCTCTCCGAATGTAATGATTAAAATTGCGTAATTATTTAATTCACCCTTGAAAGCCTGAGTTTCATGACCAACTGGAGAATCCAGCTTGGGATGTTGGCACCAATGGGCGAAGCATTTGGGAGAAAGCTGTGGCACACGTACAGTACATGTACAGATCACATGTCAATCCACTGCTGAATGAGGCAATGAGGGTCACAATGACCATACTTCTCTCCACGCTGGGCAGTGCGAGTTTGTGAAGGGAATTGGAATATAGAACAATGGATTTTTCTGCACTGCCCTTTAAACGCCTACGATACCTACTACAACACCTGTGTTGTGAACGGTGGTCACCCAACCAAACACTATTTAACGCTGGTTAGCTTCCAAGGTCTGATGGGAATGAACACATTCCAGGTAATTTAGTAAGAGATATTCCATAAATACAACACATAAAATTGGCGGAAATAAGTCAGCAACCTGCTTGCTATACTGCCTAATAATGGCCACCTCACATACCGAAAATTTGGCGTCTCAGGAATTTAACAATTTGCCACCGTAGCGACTTGGGTTGTGATTTGATCCATGAACCAATTATTTTTCGTCTCCTTTGTAATTCTTTTAGTCTCGTACAAATTATTTCATGCCATCACCCGAAAGGATATTTTGGCGTATCATTTAAATAATATTCAAATACTGTCAATAATCCTTTTTCACACTCACGATGTATGTATCATGTCAGAATCTTTTAAATTTAAATAAATGCCAACCTCGTGTCTTACCCACAAATCTAGCAACTACCCAAAGCGTTGAGTAGGCATGTAAAATATATTCATCAACCGAAATTGATTATGCTCCTGACAAATAAACAATGCACGTGAGATTTGATTATTTACGATGCATGTACATTACATGCCAATGTTCATCATCATCATCAGCCATGCTCAATCCACTGCTGGGAGAAAAGGTTCCCCAATATTGTCACCATTCCTCATGATCCTGCGATCCACCCAGCTCCTGCGCATGAGATGATCTCATTGCTTCATCCTCTGTGGTGGTTATTCTCTCAGGCGTGTCTCTCCTTTGGCTGACATTCCATCCCAAGTTCTGTCCACTTGCTATTATCCCTTTTGATCACGACGTGTCTTGCCCAAGCCTAATTAAAACTCAATTTGCATTTTACCAATGTTGCATTGATGATAAAGTAAAGTTACACAAAAATAACTGGATAAATAAAAAATGAGATGGTAAAAATGAAATAAAAAAAATGAAATCATGACTAAATCAATCACAATTGAATCACTGGAAAGTGTGCTGGGAGTGGGGGGGGGGGGCTCCAGTTGAATCGTAAACATGGCCACAGGCAGCCATTGCCACCATGCACACATGCCTAGCTAGGGATGTTCATTTAATTTTTTTAGGTTTTACGATAATTGCATGCACAAAAACCTATTAAAATAAAACATTACCAATCTTCACCACACCCACAATGACCGGAGTGGTGAAGTATGGCCAAATACAAGCTCAATGACTGACATGGCGTGGTTAGGCATTCATCTAGCAGTGGCTTGACCAAGTGCTGTACGTTTATTATATTGTATCCATAATGATCTGAACAATGACATTGCCTCATGCGTCTGTAAAAATGCGTCCCATGCACCAAGCAGTTTGATCAAGCACTAAAAAAGTAGAAGATTATAGATTTCATGACTTTGGAATCAATACAATATTCCGTAAACAAACGGTAGAAAATCGATAATGAAAGTGCAGGAAATACAAAACACTGAGTACGCTTGGCCAGTACCCTAACTTACAATAAGATATTCTATGTGCATAGGCAGCTTACTCTGCGTCAAGAGATACGAGAGAAAAGCTTATCAATATACTCATGGTGCATCTAGTGATAAAGCAAAATGATGAAAGGTTAGTACTTCAAGCTGGAACTGCTATTGAGTTTCAAAAAGGGTGCAGCCCTACAAGAGCTTGCTCACACTACAGCTGGAGGAAGGGCCTCCACCAGAGGCAGTTCTAGACGGCCCCTCGAGAGGGTAGTTTGCCTACTCTTTCACGATGGCCAGATATCTTACACTACGACACGCAACCTAGGTGTTTACTGTTGATGGACACAGAATCGGGGATTTAAGAAACTTGATCATTGTTTTAACTGCCACGCTGCGAGATCGATGCAATCGAACGACCGGTCTACAGTGCACTGGCCAACCCCCATAAAAATTTCCAAAATGCCAATTCTCCCACTTGCGCCATCGTCATCACTACCACCGCCTCCGTCGCCACCACCCCAGTGCCAACAGGCTCACCCACCCAGCTCTCGAAGTGCAGGCTCTCGCTCTGCAGCAGCTCTTCGAAAGAGATGGTGCAGTTGGCGACAAAGTCGTCGTAGCCGATGGTCGTGTCGTGGAAGACGGCAAGTTCCATGCGCTGCCCCTCGCACACCTGCGTCACAAACTCCTCATCCCAGCGCGGGCAGCTGGTGCGCTGCCTCGTCTGCGTCTGCCCCACGTGCAAGTCGTCCACGTTGAGCGCAACGTACGGATCCAGCAGTGGGCGCTGCTGATTCTGTTGCTGATTCTGATTCTGCTGCAGTTGATTCTGTTGATTTTGTTGGCCCGATTGCTGCTGTTGCTGCTGGTTTGGCTGGCCCTGTGGTTGGTTTTGCTGACTCTGCTGCTGCTGCTGTTGCTGCTGCTGCTGAAGCTGTTGCTGCTGCTGGCTGTGCTGCTGATGCTGGCTGGACTGCGAGCGGGACGTCACCTTCATGCCAGGCACCAGCGCCGAGTGCCGGAGTGACCACGGCGTGGGTTTCAGCTCGGCCGCCTCCCGTACCCTCACTCGCAGTGAACCGCTGAAGAGCACCATGGCAGCAGGAGATCTCTCACGTCTCTCTTCCTCCTTCTCTTGCACTTCCTCGTCACAGCCCTCTCAATGCAAGGCCCCCGACAAGCCGACTGAAGAGGCTCTGGCGAACTGCATTAAGTCAATGGCCACTGCAGGCGCCTTGTGGGGGAAGAGACAGGAAATGGTTGGGATTCAGGTCAACATTAACAGCCACCCTTTAACGCAAAGTTTAACCAGTTAATATTTACAATACAATATAACAATTGCAATCTTGTGACAACGTACTGCAAGTTGTAAGAAACGCCTATGCAATTAGCAGGGTACCTCAGGTTATTATATAGTAGAGTATTATTAGTGTTTTTTTACAACATTCACTTTTCCATTGGTATTCTGTGTATGAAAGAATGACCGCTGTACAGCAACAATTCACAACCGTTTGTCAATCTGCTGCTGGATGACGTCCTGCTCATGCGGTGTTGGTCATGGGGTTATTTTGACCATACTTCACCATATTGGTCAGATGTCAGTCGCCACTGATGCTAGCCATGACTCAGGTCACTGGGTTCACAACACAGTGCGCTATCTCTGCTGCGTCACCACTCCAATCTTCACCGGTTAAAATTAAAGTCTTCAGACGAGCCATCGTGAGATTATGAAATACATAATTATCAGTGACATTGTTATCGGAGGCTTTTGCGTTCACGTATTCTGCATGTCACATATACTTTCGCAAAAACGTATCATTAAAAAAACAATGTACAACGTCCACCCACTGCTGGATGACAGCCTGCCAAGCGGTGTTGGTCACGGAGACTGTTGTTTGACGTACGCTGTAAATGCAGGTCGGTGAAGAAAGGGCCCAGGACCAGTTCAGGTATCACCCACCAGTTAAGTTTGTCATGGGTTTGTGGCACGGCATGCGAACCACTGTGCCACCGCTACACCTCTCTCCAGCAAAGCCAGAGCATGCATATCATGCATATAACGCTTTCCATAGCAAATAAATCATCATAAAGGACCGCGATAGTATATTGTAATAGATGCCACAATACAATGCATTACTGTAAAATAAAATAGAATTACACCACGGCTTTTATATTCATCACAGGATTTGTTTTTTGCAAGACACATCGATTTAATGAGCCGTCAATCAAAGCAAAGGGTCAAAAGTCATAACGGTGCCCCTTAAACTACGGAGCCATTAATGTCAATTCCACATTCACATCACATGAGCATGCGTCCACCTGTAGCAACAGCCACTGCCGACTTACCTTTGAGAAACGGGGGAACGTGACCTCACTGCTAATACACTGGACGTGACAATGCCAAATAATCGACATTCTAAGTATAGCAGAACCACTGTCAACCTATCTTTGTCAATATCACTGGTAATACAGGCGATGTGGAATCACTAAAACACTTAACATTGACAGTGATAACTCAGCTCGTGGTGCAAATTTCCACATTCTTATGACAACCCCGAGTCCATTTACAAAACAGTAAAACCACTGCTAACCTACTAGCAGTCACCAACACATGTCTGCAAAAACACCTTGAGGTTAGTGACAATAATAACCGAGCCTGTGATAGAAATACCATCGTAATGTTATGCCAAAACCAAATCAATCCAGAGTACAACCAGAGCACAACCATTGCCGTCAACAGAGGTAATAGCAGCAGGGGCAAAGGAACAGCTTTAACACACTCCTGACAATAACTCAGCCGAGCAGTGGAAACGGCACATTCTTATGGCAAGGCAAGTCCATCCACGGCACAAGTAGTACATTACAAACCACTGCTCAACTTACCGATGTGGCTATAGGCAGAGCAAAATGAGCACACATCAACACACCGAGTGTCCATACTTGAGGCAGGAATTCCACAATAGCATGGCAAGAGCAAGCGAGCACACCACCACCACCACAACAGGAACGATCGAGATTTGTAATGACCACAGGAACGAGGCCACTTTGGCGTTCCGAAACGCACCTCTTGTCAAGATCGGGCGTTGGGCAAAGCAAGGCAGCACCCTCGGCTATAATCACGACAATCACAGCAGCAGCAAGAGGCAACAACAACAGCAGCAGCAGCAATGATAACAGCAGCGGCAGCGACGGGCAGTAAGGCGAAAGCATAAACGACGACATGAAATAATGTCTGTGGAGTCACGTACCGCCTTCAAGACTCTTAATATTTACGTTGAAGCCCATTCGCCATTGCTTGAAGCAGCATCGGCGGGGGAGGGAGAGAGCCCAAGGGGTGGTGGTGTGTGGGGGGGGGGTGAGAAGGCTAAAATAAAAAATATATATTTTAAAAAAATATTCATAAACTTCGCGATAACACGAGGCGAAGCGCTGCCTGCCTGCCCGCCCGCTGTAACAACTGCGACTGGTTTGAAGGCGGACCGCCGTGGAGGTGAAGGAGGAGGAGGCGGCGACGGCGGAGGTGGGGTGGGTGGGTGGTTGTTGTTGTTGACGATGTCGCCGACGATGTTACACACACACACGGCGGTGGTGTCGGTGGCGGCGATGTTGTTGTTGTTGTTTAATGATGTGGGGAGACGTCGCGCGCGCGCGCGCTCGGCGCGAGGCGGGGGGCGGGGCGGCTGTGTGAGGGGGATGGGGGGGGGGCTTGAGGGGGAGGGGGTTGACGCAGGGTGGGGGGGTTGGGCGGGGGGCGGGGCTTGTGGGGGGAGAGGAGGGGGGGCGCGGGCGCGCGACCGAGTTTTTTATTTGGGGGAGGGGGGGGGTATGAAACGAGCGAGGGTTTCCGTTTCCGGTCAACGGACGGAAGTGCGTATTACACTTCCGGTGCGCGCGCGCGGGTGGGAGGAGGAGGGGGGGAGATGCGCGGGGGGGGGGGGCGCGCGCGTCGGTACCACGTGATCAGTCCTTTGTGATGATGTAATCGCCCTGTGACGATTCCCCGTCGCTGGTCGAATCGATGGGCACGATTCGTATCGGATCGCGCGTGGATTTCAAGAATGGAGTCTCCACGTGGAAACGAAAGTCCACGTGGGTTAAAGCGAACAATGATGATGATCAGACGTGATCGATCCACTGCATATCGATGAAGGCCTCTCCAATTCGCCCCCCCCCCCACCACCATGTCTCACGGATCTTGCAATACAAAGATCCATCCTAGCATCTGCACATGAACTCATTTGATCGCTTCAAGTTTCATCGATGTACGTGCCCTATTAATATATGCATATATATTTAGGTTCACACTACACAGGATAGTACTGTACACGCATTCGGCTCAGTGCTGTCAAGCCACCTGTCCACCACTTAATTACTGAAGGCGGATCGGAATCAAAATCATGAAATAGAGTAATAAAGAGTGCCTTTGCCTATCTTACGGTTACATGCTAATTTCTCACATTAACATCATGCTAATCTCTCACATTAACATCATGCTAATCTCTTACATTAACAAAGCCACTTCCGTACCCTCGTCTAGGAGGCCGCTCTCCTATCTTACAGTTACACGCTAATTTATTACATTAACATCACTAGCCCCGGCCACTTCTTTATGACCCTTGGGCTACACCGATTTCAAACCTTTTAAAACAGTCTGCATCAGCAGCAGACCATGCTTTCCCAATTCCCACCTGATGACGGACGCTTGTGTTGACTTTACCGAAAGAACCAAAGAGTATGGATTCCTGCAGTCACGAAAGCCTCAACTCAAGATAGTGCCTTTGCCGTTAGAAAACCTGAAATTTGGTCCTAAAACTCGGCATCCAATTGTGCCTCCCTCTGGCATGGATCAGAAACACGGACGACGAAGCTGAGCAGTGCACAGAGTCGCGTCGAGAGGTAGATGCATCCTCCAGTATGAATAAATTCTGAGTGACACCGAGAGTCAGAGTGTGGCACGCGTGGAACAGGGGATCAGATGTGACATGAAGGCATGTAAGCGCACGTGGGCAGGAGACCTCACGGCTAGCAAGCATGATGATTGTTGGACCGAATGGCAGCCAAAGAAACGAAAGCACCTGGGGGGGGGGAAGGGTGACTTCCGGAGAGATGGGAGCAAAATGTGCTCGGTTCGATTGCAGAAGTGGGATGGATTGTTGTTGCCATCATGACAACAGCAGAGAGTAAATCCTAGCTAACAATGATGAGTATGATTTTGACGGAGTAACTTTATCAATCGCCACAATGCTGACATTAAAGTTACAGTATTTCCACTCCATGCGTATCCCTCTCTTTCGTATGGATATGATTTGTGAAGCGACTATTGTACGGTGGACGGGTGTAGTATCCAGGTTGGAAACCCAGCTGCTGGCTTCCACAGCGCAGCGAGTGAATGCCACCCGTGTCGTGGGAGAATGCTCGCAGTGGACATGCAGTTGCATTTGGGGTGAATCTGTGTTTACCTTTCTTGTAATTTGTTGTTTATTGTGAAATTTCGGTCACAGCTCCTATGATCACTGTTACATTGCTTATGGATTTATTTTGGTGATTTCGAAAGTTTTTTGGTTTGGCCATGTTTGTTTGTTGTAGTGCGGAGTTAGAATGATGGCTTTAATCTAAGTTGTCTTGTTGTTATTGTTGTTTGACTTGCATCCCACTGGGATTTTTGCACAGCGTTGGTGTACGGAGCTTTTTTATGAAAGACTTTGCAGTTTTTTCCTGGATTTTTCTGTTTGCGCACAGTCACTTTAAGATGTTTTCTTGTTCATGTTTTTGTTTGCTGCGGTTGCACCCGATTCAAGAGCAGAATGGCTCACAGGGCTACACCTAATAAATTAAACTGAAACTGGAACGTTCTTACCCGCCCCTACTGTACGTCTGTGAAAAATCACTTTATAGCTCTTCGGATTCCTCCAGTATAAATTAATGTTCTGATTCTGAACCTGTGATTGTCCACATGCGAGGGGGCAGGTAGGGGGATTGCACCTGCCGTGGCCCACTGGGAGCAGATTATTTATATATTTTTGGCTGCTCTAAATTCCCACGTGATGAGCCAATTCGTTGAGCTATCATTTGTGGCCAGGTCGCTTCTGAAAATGAAGCTAAGAGCTCAGTGGGCTTTACCTGGTGAGATAAAAAAAAAGCACGTAATTTCCTTTCCTTTCCCTTACTCTGCACTCCTGTCGTGTTTTGTATTATTTGTTTTGACTTTCTGACCCCCCCCCCCCAACTCGACTTAGCATCAAATGAGTAGCTGGTGCGGTGTGTAAACATCGTCACTGGAGAGACAAAGGCGGCCGGGTGTGGGACTGGCTACCTACCTCCTCGTGTGCCGTTCCGGCTTTCATAGGTGCTCGCTAACAGCACTTGCTCCAACAGTCTGTTGAGGCTATACTGGGGATTTCTGTCTGTGTTATACAGTACATCATTGTACTCCATTACACTGCTCATATCAGACACCTTTTTCCCCCCTTCACTGAAACCCTCTCAATCGATTTTATATTTATTTTTTCCGATTCACACGATGTATTCGTCCACCAAGAGTAAGAGGTTGCATGCCTGTCCATTACCATGATTTATTTTATCGACAGCAGTTGTAGGATTTAACACGTAGGCTTTCGCGACCAATGTTATTCATAATCAACGTTTTTGGGTTTAGATCGCGTTATTTATAAATGTGTCGTAACCCTCCACCACCCGACACGGCCAATCAGTAAAAAAGTGTCACGTTGACAAAAGACAAATAGTTCACTGCTTTAGCCCACCGGTGTGTTGAAGCCACAACATTTACAATTTGAGTACGACGTTTCGCTGGCGAATTGCCCGATGATGCTGGATGCAATTACCAGCGAAATGTCGTACTCAAATTGTAAATATTGTGGCTTCAACACACCGGTGGGCTAAAGCAGTGAACTATTTGTCTTTTGTCAACGTGACACTTTTTTACTGATTGGCCGTGTCGGGTGGTGGAGGGTTACGACACATTTATAAATAACGCGATCTAAACCCAAAAACGTTGATTATTAGCACTTGTAGGAGTTCACGATAACGCTCAGGTCGTCTTCATCGTCAGCATCATAGGAAGCCATCAACTATCACACTGCTAGGTGCCTCGTCACGCTGTAATTATATCCATGCTTCCTCCTGCACACAAACTAATTTAATCATCGCGTCTCTGCTGTGCGTGTCCTCATAGACCAGCGGTCGGCAGCCGAAATAACATGAATAGATTTTTGTTTCGAATTCGGTAAATCAATATTTAAAGAGCCGCAATGCATTGTGAATCACGTTACGGAAGCAGTCCATAGACGCGTTCCTTTCCCAGTCTGTCACTCTGTCGTTATGTTCTTCCTTGTCATCATCCTTGCGAGTGATGTGTCATGTCAAATGACTATCTGTGACGAAGAGCTTTATAGCTCATCGGATTCCTCCAGCACACAATATTAAAGATTCCGATCTTCATTTTAAATGTCTGTGACGCACCTTCTCCCATCCACGTGTTGCTCTTCCTGTCTCTCAATGTAAAATGAATGAGCCTGCAAGTCATCCAGCCCGGGATTGTTCACCCGGCCCTGGGAGGGCGAAGATTTTTCGAGCACAGCTCTCCAAAAATCTGGAACTCACTCACCCCGACTGCCTGCCACCGGACATCCGAAACTGGCCGAGTGTCTCTCAATTCCGCGGTCTGTGCTAGACACGCCTGCTCACAAATAAAGGCGTTTGGGTTAGATCGCGTGGGTATCAATGTGTCGTAACCCTCCACCACCCGACACGGCCAAGTAGAAAAAAATGTGTCACGTGACAAAATGTTTCACGTGACACATTTTTCTGCTCACAAATAAAGGCGTTTGGGTTAGATCGCGTGGGTATCAATGTGTCGTAACCCTCCACCACCCGACACGGCCAAATAGAAAAAAATGTGTCACGTGACACATTTTGTCACGTGACACATTTTTTACTGTTTGGCCGTGTCGGGTGGTGGAGGGTTACGACACATTTATAAATAACGCGATCTGACCCAAAAACGTTTACTATGAATAATAATCTTCTTGGTTCTTTCGGTAAAGTCACGTGGAATGGAAATAATAAAAATATAAAACATAATAAAATAATTCTCACGACGTTTTATTATGTTTTATTTTTATTATTTTATTATTTCCATTCTACGCGACTTTACCGAAAGAACCAAGAAGATGAATCCCTTGCAGTCACGAAAGCTTTAAATCGAAATGAATAATAATGTTCGCGCTTTATTTTGCGCGCGGTTGCAATTCACTCTGCTCCGTCAGCGTGAGCCGTTGAGGTCGTGACGGGTCTCTGTTCATCAATCTTGCTGCTGTACTGTGCACTGATGCCTACTGCATTGAGGGCGATATTGGCACGCAAAATAAAGATTGATTGATTAAAGGTCCTGAGTTCGTGTGCTCAGGTAGTACACGTACAAATATTAGCAACTGTCACCCACTGCTTAAAAATAATTAGTTTAGCATGAATGCAAGAGGTATGCACTGGTGTAAGTATGCCTTTAAGGCATTAACTAAGACATTTCCACAAAGTACATCCGGGGTTGTAATTCCATATTTAAACAATTTTAATATGAATCCATCTGGCGGAGGGAGTGGTGGCACGGTGGTAAGCATGCAGCGCTATGAACTATCTAAGTTCACG